TTGAATTTAAGCCAAAAATTTAAGCACCTTATGTATTGTCTGGTTCAAGGAGGAGCAATTGTGAATAAAATTAGTAAACTTGATAAAAATTGTCTTCTGAGCCCTAATCATCACTACACAAAATTGTTAAGTGCAGTACATGATGGCAAAAGGATAACTGAATAGTTATGGATAGTTTGGCATTTCAACAGTATTTAATTTTAGCATTGTAAAACCCTTTCTGGCCAGTGGTGGATCTAGGATATAAGCCAAAATCATAGAACTTGTGAATTTTTGGGAACACAAATGCTCAAAAACCAGAGCAAGTTCCATTCTTTGCTTCATTGTGTGAAAATTACCTATTCAGGAACATTGAGAAAAGGACTTTATTTTCTCTTATTTTCCAAGTGTCCCATGTCTAATCTGATAAATAATGTGTGTTAATATGTTTATCAGAGCAAATAACTTCATGAATGATTTCTTTCAAGTTATATATTTATTTAACATGATGTGTTGTAACTTTAACACATAGTAACTCCAAAGATTAGAATTTCAGATCTGTGCAAAGAAAATGGAAAGTAGTTTTGAAACCATTATTTTAGTTATTCATGCAGTGTTTTTACTCACAAAACCTTTTTGTGACTTTATATGTTTTATTTAATCTAAAATTTGATTATCATAGTTGTTTATTTTCTTGTTCATGATTCCCATGTATTAATACATTTTAAAGACAATTTTGGTGCAATTTAAAAGCAAAACTGTGCTATATTGCATGACTGAGATTGCTAGCAATTCTGAGACTATATTTTTCCTTTTAGTGAAAGGCAACATTTTACAATAATTTTTTGGTAGTTTTTGAGCAGTCAGAGTACATTGGAAGAAATCAGATTTCTCAGCAACTAAGAATTCTGCTTATCCACATACGAAGGTGTAGTAGACCAGGAGTTTCTCAGCACAGCTTTTCCAAGCCTAAGCCTTATGTATTTTGCCAATTCTAGAAACTTAAGCCTACTAAAAATTCTCAGAGAATGGTCTGGAAAATCACTAGGTAAATTTAGGGGCATGCTTTCATTCCCATGAAGAATTTAGTAAGAACCTATTTTTGGGACCACTACAGAAGCGACAATGGTGTGCTACAAACTGTAATATGCATAATTTAATTTCATCTTTCTGGATAAAGCAAGTGTGGGATTAGGTGACTTCCAGAGTCTCTGTTGCTTTACTGCTGACTTCAGTAGAGTTGAGAATCCCTAAGCCATATGACACTTTTATAGAATCGCTTTTCAGGGTATCTTAGTATAGTTGAGTGATTATAAGAACTTCCTCAACTGTGTACAAATCTATTGGAATATAGACAAAGACTTGGAAAGGCATGTACAATCAGTACTACACATAGGTTGTGGCTATAGTAATGATTGTGGACAGGCAGAGATATTCACAGTGTTGAATGACTTGTTTCCATGGTTGAACTTGTAAATGTTGGGAGATATGTAAAATATCTTAATTTGCCTTTATTTGTGTTATACCTCTCTCCCCTTAAAATTACTACATCTGAATCTTGATTCTCTTCCTTTTTTCTTCTTTTCCCTCCCTTGTCCCTTCCTTTCCCTTGCCATTTTAACTAAATTAAAACAGGACTTTCAGAATATTACCCTCCTGTTATAATATTTATTGCCTTATCTGGATGTTGAGAGCTAATTTCTTCTCATGTTCTTTCTAACCAGAATGATAACACAACCCAGACACCTATATTTCATGTATATTGGAGAAGAGGATCCTGTAATTGGAACAAGAAGATTGGGGTTTGAATCTGTGTCTTCTTAGTATTTACTATTTATATTACTGAAGAAGTCATTGACTACATTTCTTTATATTTAAAATATAAATATAATACCTATTAAAATATAAGGCTTCTTTAACAGTGAAATTTTACATAAACTACTTTTTAAACTGTATGTGCTATACAAATTATTCCTTTATATGTCTGGGTAGAATTACTTTCTTCTCTCTGTAATTATAGTAGTTATAACATATCTTTCTCTCATGCTAGATTTTAAGTTTATTGAGGGGAGGAGCTTGTCTTGCTCATCTTTTTAGCCCTAGTTAAATAGAACTGTTAAAATGGGTAGTAAAGATATTTATATTATACTAATATGGCTGAAAGTTTATACATAGAGTAGTACTCATAAAGTTAGTATTTATTTGACTTATATGATTCTATCTAGTATTTAATACAATATTAAAATATGAGATGGGTTATTCAAATTATTTGAATAACTGCTTCACTTTTTGTTCATCTATTTTTACATATTCAATTATCTGTAACTTGTGAAGTTTTGTGAGGCACTGGTTGTGGTGTCCACTAATCCATTCTTACTCCATGTATCCAACAATGCTTATTTTCTCCATAAATTGACCACTGAAATGTGCTATGTACAAAGCAAACACATTCTCTGCCATCATGACGATTAGAGTCAATGGAAGAGAAGGCAATAAAAATCTAAGTGTAAGTGAACATGTAATTGCAAACTGAGATAAATGTTAGGAATGGAGAACCAGAGTTTGAATTAAGAGAGTAACAGTGACACTCACTTAAACAGATTTATTTAAACTCTTTGAGGAAATAGCATTTAAGCTCAGGGATATCGCCTTTCAAGGATCAATAGTTCTTGGCAAGACAAAAACAGAGCAAAACACGTGATGAAGAGTAGATCAGGCATATTACATAATATGTATAAAGACCTGGGGTGGGAAAGAGACATGTGGGCTCAAATAATTGAAAGTTGTGACAGGAGGGAATGACATGCTATTATTCACAATGCTCAATTCCCAAAATTTTTTATTCTCTTACGAAATTACTGCTATGTGGTTACTTATGTTGGTGTTCCATTTTACATACTTATTTGCCTTTTTAAAAAATGGTATTATTGAGATATAATTTACATACGTACAATTATATTAATATATAATTTACATATATAATTTACATGTATGTTACCCATTTAAAACATACGATTCTGTGTCTGTGGTATGCATTCACAGAGCTTCGTAGCCATCACCATCATCAGTTTTAAAACATTTCATTACTTGAACTTCCCAGGAAACCCTATACTCTTTTACTGTCATCCCTTAATTCCCCCAACTCTCCCAGCCCTAGCCAACCTGTAATCTAGTAATTCACCTTTTGCTTTTATAGATTTTAATCTATTCTGGACATTTCATATACTTGGAATTGTATAGTGTTATCTGTGACATATCTCTTTTTCTGATTTTCTGTTACATGTTTATTGCTTCCTTTTCTGTCTCCAAGTCACCATAATTGCAGGCTTTTTCTTGCCTTTAGTGTGCCAACTTGTTCTAGTGATGTTATTTTTCTTTTATTTAGACCATCAGTAACTTCCAAATTCAGAACAGTTCCAGATTGCTAAGTGCAGTAGTAAAATTCACGTTAAGAAAGAGTTTTCATTCCTGTAACTCATTATTGTTCAATGTTTAGAAATTTTTACAGATTAATTAATCTTCTTTTGTCTATTACCCAAATATGATCTCTTTGACATAAAACTGTTAGGAATTTCTGATGTGCCTTTGTAATGCGATAGACACATTGTGTAAAACTTAACTTTCCGGGGCCTCCCTAGTGGCGCAGCGGGTTAAGCTGTCTGCAGCCTGTGAAGCTGTCTGCAGCCTCTGAAGCGCTGGTTCGATTCCTGCCTGGCTAGGGAGATATCCATATGGTGTGGCAGACCTCTCCTGTCCCTCCCTCTGCTCCCCTCAGCAGTGCATTTCGGTCATTCTGTCTGTTCTGCTTCCTGCTCTGTCTCTGGTGAATTCTCTCACCCTCATACCTCTGGCCAGTACCCCAGTGCTTGTATAAATAAGTAAATCTTTAAAAAAAAAAAAGAGTTTTTTTTTTTTAAAACCTCAACTTTCCTTTTGAATAAAAGGAAAACTTGGGGAGTGGGCATTGCACAGTTTGAGATGCTATGTGTGAGGAAAATCAAATAAAATATGTTCTACTTTTTTGGACTTCTATTTTAAAAACACAACAATGATAATTCAATGCACAATATTTGTAAGTATGACTTTGATGGATTGATGGATAACTATTAGCACTATTTGGTTGTTGGTTATATATCCACAGTCTGCTGAAGAATTAGAATGTTATGGTTGTAAAATTAGTTTAGTAGCACAAATCAGAATTCCTTGATTTCTGAGAAATGAGGAGATTGCTTCTTTTTTGCTTAGGGAAAAAAATGAAGTGTTAATTTTCATTTCTTTATGACCCAATTGCTTTTGCAGTGGGAGCTACAGTACACATTATGGGACCACTCCCTGAAGTCAGTAAGAGAGAGTATCTTGGGTCTTCCTGGTATGGCAAGGGGTTAAGATGGAACCTATGAAGCTAATGGCAGCCTCTGCAGCATGAGTTCTATCCCCGGTCAGCTAGGGAGCAACCCACATGGCGCAGCAGACCTCTCCTGTCTTGTCCGCTGCTCCCATCAGCAGTGCGTTTCAGTCAGTCTGTCTGTTCTGTTCCCCACTCTGTCTCTGGTGAAGCCTCTCACCCCCACACCTCTGGTCTGTACCCCAGTTCTTGTATACATAAATAAATCTTAAAAAAAGAGAGAGAGAGAGAGCAGGAAAGGAAAAGTCATTGTTTCTTGGACAAAAGCTTTGGCCATTGTCATTCCTACCCCCCAGGGAAGGAAAGACATTCTGATGTTAGGAGCCAGGGAGGAAGGTTGAAAGAAAACACTGTCATCATACGCCAGAAACTAGCTCATTGCTAGCAAAGTACTTGACACCCTTTCCTCAAAAAGAGCAGGTCCAGGCACACTATCATGTCACTCATCTTTGGTCTTTGCAAGCTGATTAATATAAAATTTTAAAATTAGGACATAGTAGTAGATAATTGGAGTCAAAAGTTAAGACAAACCCTTCCCCAATTTATTTTAGGTAAAGAAGAAGCTAACTTCAAGTAATTAAGAGCTGTTTCAGCAAATGGATGGATTATGGAGAATCACTGCTTTTCCTTGGGCCAGGTGGTAATTACAGACCTACAGAAATAAGAGTTGAATGTGTTCCATTCTTTAACACCTTCACACGCCTCTCTTTTAAAATTCTCTATTGCATGTTCATTTACTTCCCTCTCTTTGCTCCCAAGTCACAGCAATTAAGAGCTTTTTCTTGCCTGTAGTGTGCCAACGTGTTCCAGTGACGTTATTTCTCTTTTCTTCAGACAATTAGTAGCTTCCAAAATCTACAACAGTCTCCAAATTGCTAACTTCCGAATTAAAACATAACTATATTCAAGGTGTTTAGAAACTTCTTATCAGGTTTGTATTAATATCAGAAATAATAGGCAAAATATTTTGTCAAATCTGAATATACTCAAAAGTTGTGACTGAAGTTTTTAGTCTCTTCTTTGTGGGGTCAAAAACCTTAATATTACTTTCTAAATTAAGTGGAAGAAATGAATAATTTCCAAAAGGGCAACATGTTCTTTTAAGGACGACTACTCAGAAAATAGCACAGAATCATTAAATGACCTTGGCTGAGATTTTTGGGACCTGTGAAGGCTTATTAATGATTTTATTCATACAATTATTAGTTCTGCTAAATTGGTCTTTAGTGAGGTGGCTTGTGCAAAGCTAACAATAAGGAACATCTTTTTCAAATATTTTTTTTGTGTTTTATCAGAAACCCAGTGTGCCCTATTCCTCTTCTCCTTAATAAGGCAACTTTATTTTTTATTTAGTTTTTGTAAATCATTCTAAGGTTAACAGTCTTTTAAAATAACTCTCAGAATTAAATCAATTGACTTGGATCTTTGGGCCCTGGCCTGACTCATCCTCTGGCCTCTAACATAAATGAAACTGCTCACCATGGCAACAGTTGGTACCAGTGGCCTATTTGTCAAGGAAAGCAAATCTTAATCAAACTTCTGTTCCCACCCCCAACTCATCATCCTTAACTTCTGTCACAATTGCATTGGAAATTAATAAGACAAAACAGAGAGAAATGAACTCTAGTTCAAAGCAGAACAAATTACCCGTGGCATGGCAGTAAAAAAAATAGGATTAATTGCAGAAAATAATTATAGTCTTTGGACATGTCAGAACCTTATAATATATTTAGACCTGCCTATTTCTCATATCACCCACTTAAGGAAAAAAGTTCACTGGGCTTTTAGTTAAGTGGTGGTGATATTCTAGATGCTTTATGAGAAGACTTGTCAAATATCTATGTCTCGAAACTAGAAACAGCATGACTTCTTGTCATTTTAGGGAGATTTAGGAGCTCAGTCTGGTAGCTTTGGCATCAGCTTATTTTTAGCTGCATGCAATGTCTGTTTTTCCTGGTTATTATCTCTGAGCTTAACTTTGCAATTATAGGAAAGACACATTATTTAAGCAGATATGAACATTGTCACAGTATATTCTGTATATGTGGACACCTTTTTAATGTCTTAATGGACTCAGTTTTTGTTGATTGTTTTGCATTTGAAATGACACTCGAGTCAGGTAACCAAAAACTTCAAGTGGAAAGAATAATTATTGTAGAAAAAAGGGAAATCAGCATGTTTCTGCAAATGCTTTCTTATCACTAAGTGGAAAGATATTTGACTATTGGAAGTTGCTATGAGAAGCATGCAATATTGTATTACATTTTATTTTCTTATTTGTTTGAGGTTTTTTTTTTAAAAAATCTGTACCTGTATAATTGTATATAATATATTTATATATCCACATATATTTTTATATCTGTGTACACACACACACACACACACAATTTTAAATAGCTGAGTGCCCCTTCTTAGGCAGGGCCAACAGAGTAAAATTTAGCTTTGATTATAAAGTTCACTCTCCTGGAATTGGTCCATTACAACCATTGTGTGAATAACCTTGTGGAAGTTCCTGTAACTGTGCTGGCTCCTTGGCACCCTAGTGTTCTCTGTGTTCATGCTGTGGGACTGCTTTTAAGTTCAAGTCTCCTTTACCATGAGACTGAGTATTTCAGACACTAAATTCTCTGGTGGCTGAGCAATACAGTATTGACCTGCTTTACTCTTAATTCTGCTGGCTAGCATGTTATTTTTCACTAATGTCAGAGTATATATATATTAATCAAGAAGTGTTATTAAAGGACTGCTAGGTAAAGAAATGAGCCTTTGTGTGACTGTATAAATTCCTTTATAACTCTGATGGATCAAGACCAGTGAAGCAAGTGGTTAATTCCCACCATTAACTCTACTTATACCTGTCATTATCAAAATTCATGGGTTGAATACAGCACAGAGATTCTCACACATGACTCTATTTGAAGCAGTAGAAATTGGATATGACTCTTTAAAGGCAGAAATTAGTTACAAAACTTGTATAAGAGGAAAAAAGAAGAGAATTAATTATAAATTGTCAGCATAAGTGAACAGCATTATTGTTCATTCTTAAACACTGAAAATGATTCTGAGTTAGATTTATGTTTTCTAGTTTTTAGCCTCATCTCCATGTCCATGCCCAAGTTCAGCTCAAATAATATTTGACTGAAACCAGAACTATTCTTTTTCCTTTATTTTGCTACATTAAAGATTTCAAAAAGAATTCTGTTCATCCAGGGAAAAGAAAATCAGGCCAGTTCTGAGAAACTAAAAATAAAGCTATGCAAAATTGTTTTCAAAAAGGAGTTCTTTGGCATTTGTTTTTATGCATGACAACCCTTTAGAATGTAGCATTGAATCAAACTATGTGACTTCAATGATTTTTATAGTCACTTAAAGATATGGTTTATATCTAAACAGAGTAAATTTAAATTCCTGTCACATGATATCAATAATAATAATAATAGAAGTAATATTTATAGAGTTCATAATATGTGCCTGACACCATGCTAAGTTATTTTACATATATTTCTGTTTTATTTCTGACCAATACCTTTCCAAGTAGGTAAGTATTAACCCCATTTAAAATGTAGCAGGGCGGAGAAAATGTCCTATCAATTAGATAAAAATAAAAAAAAAAATTGGAGGAAGAGAAATGTGTTGGTCTGAGGTTTTGCTAAGAATTCTGAGGAGACTATGAGTCCCTGACCTACCTATTACATTCCTCTCCATTTCTTGTTTCAAAGGCCTCTCTTTTTGTTGCTGGTACTAAGACTTCAGAGCGAGAACTGAATTGCATAGTAGTGTGAGAAGTGAATTGGAATTCCTGAGTTTATCTGAATTGAGAGCGTGGAATAAAGATGGATGGGGTCAAGAAAAGGGAATCAAATGCACAAGATGATGGGAAGATATTGATAGGATATTATTACTATTATTGCTGTTGTTATTATGAAAACTTTGGATCTTCAGCCTAAGTAGACACAGCACTGGAGAGAGCCCAAGAATCAGAGAGGATGGAGACTGCAGCCTCCCTAGGCGTAAAAGCAAAAAAAGAGAGGATTACTTCTGACTTGTACCAGCCAAAGAATGGGGACTAAGTCTATTTCATTATGCATCTTGATTGGCAGGGAAATGCCCAAGGATATCTCACATTACAGATTGGCAAATTGAATGTTAAATGCTTGCCTGAAGTTACAAATTCAGTCAGGAACAAGATGGAGATGAAAATCCTGATTCTTTCAATTCAGAGTGCTTGATTCGCCCCGGTTACTCCTTTTGGGCACTTTAAAGTAATGATTTCTAGTCTAAGAGTTGGGAGACTCCCAACAATAAATACATAGGAGTACTGAATACTGGCTGCATTGGGTATCATCATCCTACTATTATTATCTGGACTTCTAATGATATTTCATTTTACCCTTAGGCACCAAGCATTTATAGAACATATAATGCTTTGCTTTATGTATAATTTACATATACTGTGTTTTGCTATTTTGTTTTCTGAGAGTCACAGATACAGAAATTGGCAGGTTTTTACAAACTGTTTATATATTGGACTTTATGAGCCCCCTATGATACACTGAATAATGGGAACCATTCGATATCCATGTTGTAATCCTTGCAACCTGTGAATATTACCTTATCTGGCCAAAACAATAACTGGAGATGGGGAGATTATTCTTATTATTTGGCATTATCCAGCTAGTCCCTAGATTTAATCACATTTTTCTTATAAGAGGGAGGCAGAGGGATATTTGACATGTACAAAAGAGGAGAATGCACTGTAACCATGGAGGCAAAGATTGGAGTGATCCTGCCATTAGCCAAGGAATAGCAGCAGCTATGAGAAGTTGGAAATGGCCAGGGAACACATTCTCTCCTTGAGTGTCTGGTGGAGTGTTGCCTGCTGACATCTTGATTTTGTCCAGTGAAATTGATGCAGGAGTTCTGGCCTCCAGAATTTCTGTGGGGAAATAAATTATGTTTCTGGGCACCAAGTTTGTGAAATTTGTATGACAATGCTAGGGAATGGACACAACACCATAAGAAGTTCAGGCCATCAGATTATTATTTTTTTAAGAATTATTATTTTTTATTTTTTACATCAGTGTTTGTTTTTAAACAATATTTGCTTCCCTCCACCCCCTCAGGTATAGTTCCCATAGAATTTCCTTCACCAATGCACCTGCCGCAGATCAGTTTAGTCAATGAAAAAAAGCAAGGGTAAGATGCGGGCTGTTCCCCCTTCAAAGCCAGGACACTCTTGCCAAAGTGAAATCTCCAAACTTACAATGACTCTTCCATCTGCAGAAAGAAGCAAGTGGCAGCAGACTAGCCCCCTGCTCAAGGACGATGACCTCTATCTCCTCAAAGACAGAGAGGTTTAAAGAAGAGAGTAAATATTGTGGGTTTTGTTGCATTTTTATAATGGGGATATCAGCTATTTTATGTTTTTCTCCTTGAATCTTCCAAAATAAGAAAAATAATAACATATATCATCTTCTCCAGAACTTAGAAAAATTATGTTACTCTAACTAGACTCAGATTTCATCTTATCTCTTGTTATTTTAATTCAAATAAACAAATTAGGAAACTGCATCATTAATTTGTATTTTGTAGAAGAAATTGTTTAGACAATTAGATTTAGACAATTTATTATTCAAGATTTCCCTTTTATTTAGCTGTGCAAATAACTGCACCCATCTAAGCATAATAATTTATAAATGCTTTGTAAGTTAACACTTGGTAACTTGGTGGAATATATTGAAAAAATGAAATATTTTCTTCCAAGGACCAAAGATTTTAACATACATGCTTATGCCACTGGAGAAAAAAAATGTATTTTCTATTCTTCATTTAAACTTCTTTAGTAATAAAATATTAAATTAAAATCAGTTCTGTTGACACAGCATTTAATTTGGAGGTCACTCATATTCTGAATGGAAAATTAAACTGTAAGGTCTTTTTTAATGAAGTGGCTACAATAGAATTTGACTTCCTGTTCCTTCATAATACTGAAATTCTCAATGAGCAGCATTTTTCTTTAGAATAAACTAGCCACTATGGAAACAAGCTTCTTCAGCTTGTGAGAAGTTGGTGTGCCCTGATTAGCAAGCATGCCACACTAGACTTCAAGCATTTTAAAATTGAACTAAGGGCCCCGCTGAAGCACAGCTTCTATTGTTTGGTAATGAGTATTTTGCAGAGTCCTTTAAAAAGTAAACTGTATTGTTCCCTTGCTAGTTGCAGTACATCAGAGTGAGGTGATTACGGTTTCTTAAAAAGCACTTTCAAGATTGCAGAAACATTATCTGTTTGGAAAAAGGTATTTTTTCCATGACTAGTGATAAATTTTAAGAACATTTTCTGAACACCCTAGCAAGGACTTTAAAATTATCTGGAAATTCTGCTTTTGATCCCAGATGCACTGAGTCTAAAAAAATCCATCAGAGCCCACAGGCAGGTCTCTACTTCCTGAGCTGCTGGTTGGGCAGGAAATTTTGCATAGTAAATACTTTTAAACTTTGGTATTCAGAAAGGAATATTAAGTCCAGGGGAGGACTAACATCTCTGATTAAATAGAGCAAATTTTCCTGACGCTAGGGTACTTATTGTAGATATTGAGACTGCCTCGTTCATCACATAAATGCTGGGGCATTTGGATCTCATATCTGTTTTTTGATGAAGTGTCTGTAAGGGCTGTCAGTAGGGAATTGAGAGCTTGGGATGAGATTGGAGCTCATTTTTTTTAACTTTTTTCATATATCCTTTCTTCTGGTTACTTGTGTCATTTCCTTATTACCGGTTGAAGTAACTACAGTCTTGTTCCTGCTATAAGATATTATTTATTAAGATATTTATTTTGTAGACTTGAAATATCTTAATGTAAGTGGAGTTTAGAATACAGGATGCAGATACTGATAGGGCCTAGAATACCCTGTCAGTTCGTTGAATCATGATTTCCCCAAATCTTTGGGTTCTTAATTAATGTGTTTATTTTTGGTACTTCTTTTAAAATCAAGGTAGTATTGGTTTACAATATTGTATATATTCAGTATAGGATCTCACCTTTTCAGATATATGTCATCATACCACATCCACCACCAAGGCACCCATAGTCATCCAACATAATCCATTGGATCCTTTCTATACCTTGTTCTCCATCTTCCCCTATCCCTCTGCTAATTTCAGTTTTTCAGACTTCTAGGGTTTGTTTTTGGTTTGGTTTAGTCAGACTCCTTGTTTTGTTTCTCTATATTCCACATGTAAGTGAAACCAACTGATTTTTTTTTGTCTTTTTCCTTCTGATTTAGCATAGTCTCCCCCAGTTCCATCTGTCCGGAGCCGCCTGGAGCATGCGCCGTGTTGCACAACACACGTGCCATTAATTAGTTTTCGCTTTACCGTTTTGCCTGCTGAGAAACCACAGGTGTTTCCTATTAATCAAATGAGACTGGGAGGTACGATGGGAGGAGCTACCAGGATATAAGAAGAGAACCACGAGAAGGTCAGGAGGTTATTGCGAGAGGTTATTGCGAGAGAGGTTATTGCGAGAGAGGTTATTGCGAGAGGAGCAGAGAGAAGGTCAGGGAAGGTAGAAAGACAGGGAAAAGTAAAAGAAAGGTAAAAGAAAAATAAAGAAGTAAACGCTAGCGTCAAGTTGTCAAGCCCCTCATTTCAATCCTCAGCCCTTCTCTTTTCGTGCCTACGAATCCCGCGGGTCGGGACATCCATCCATATTGTTACACATGGCAAGAGTTCATCTTTCTTTACAGCTGAATAATATTCCGCTGCACATATATACCTTATCTTCTTAATCCCCTCATTTGTCCTTGGGCACATGGGTTATCTCCATAACTTGGCAATTGTAAATAGTGCTGCAGTGAACATTGGAGAGCATATATCTCTTCAAAAGAGTGTTTTTTCATTCTTCAGGTAGATATCTTGGAGTGGAATTGCTGGCTTGTGTGGTAGATCTATTTTTAACATTTTGATAAACTGCTATACTGTTTCCCGTAAGGGCTGGACCACTTGATATTCTCACCAACAATACAGGTAGGTTCCTTTTTCTCCATGTCCTTACTAACACTTGTTTCTGGTCATCTTTTTTTTTTTTTTACATTAATTTATTTATGCATACAAGAACTGGGGTACAGGCCAGAGGTGTGGGGGGGTGAGAGGATTCACCAGAGACAGAGTGGGGAACAGAACAGGTAGGCTGACTGAAATACACTGCTGAGGGGAGCAACGGGCGAGTCAGGAGAGGTCTGCTGCGCCATGTGTGTTGCTCCCTGGCCTGTCAGGGATACAACTCATGCTGCAGAGGCTGCAGATTGCTTCATAATGTGGTGCTTAACCCTTGCGCCGCCAGGGAGGCCCAGGTCTTCTTGATATGCATGATTCTCTCAAGTGTGAGGTACCAATAGTTTCTCATTGTGGTTTTGATTTGCATTTCCCTGATTATAAGTGAGGAGAAGCAATTTTTCAGATGTTTGTTGACCATCCATATGTCTTCTTTTGAGAAGTGTCTATTCAGCTCTTCTGTCCATTTTTAAATAGGGCTATTTCCCTTCCTTCCTTCCTTCCTTCCTTCCTTCCTTCCTTCCTTCCTTCCTTCCTTCCTTCCTTCCTTCCTTCCTTCCTTCCTTCCGTCTTCCTTCTGTCCTTCCTTCCGTCCTTCCTTCCGTCTTTCCTTCCCTTTCTTTCTGCTGTTTGAGTGCTTTGTAGATCTTGGATATTAACCTCTTGTCAGTTGTATGGTTTTCAAATATTTTCTCCCTTCATTAGGGTGTCTTTTTGTTTTAATGATAGTTTCTTTTGCTGTGTAGAACCCTTTAGTTTGATGTAGTCCTATTTGTTTATATTAACTTTTGTTTCTTTTGCCTTTGGAGAGGAATCCACAAAGATATCACTGAAAACAATGTTGTGGATAGTTTTGCCTGGGTTTTTTTCTATGTATTTTATGGTTTCAGGTCTTACATCCAAGACCTTAATCCATCTTGAGTTAATTTCGTACATGGTATGTTCGTACAGTGGCCTGTTTCATTCTTTTCCATGTGGCTCTCTTCGTTTCCCAACACCATTTGTTGAAGAGACTTTCTTTCTCCATTGTATACTCCAGTCTCTTTTGTGTTAGATTTACTGTCCATGTAAGTGTGGGTTTATTTCTGGGTTATAAATTCTATTCCATTGGTCTATGTGTCCATTTTTATCCTAGTACCATGCTGTTTTGATTACTACAGCTTTTGTAATATAGTTTTATGCCTGAAAGTGTGATAACACTGCTCTCTCTCTCTTTGTCTCTCTCTCTCTCTCTCTCTCTCTCTCCACTTCCTTCCCTTTCTTTCCTCTTTCCTTCCTTCCCCATTCTTTGCATGTCATACCCAACTTTGATTTTAGTGACTTTCAGATTCCTCAGTGGGCAGTAAATAAACAAAATAATTGAACCAGTTTTATTGAAAAATTGTGGATATAGAAAACATTTTCCAGTTATGAATATATTATATATATATATATATATATATATATATATAAAGAGAGAGAGAGACAATTTAAAGAAGGCTAATAAAGATATAATAAGCTTGAATACCAGTTTCTTAGAGGGAACCATTAACATGTTATATTGATATATTTAAATCCTCAGTTCAGAAAAAGTAGACCTCTGAGCTGACTGCTCCTCATTTCTTATACCTGATTTCTGTGAGTAGGACCTCTTTCTGTTTCACCAAATGAGAAACCTTGGGTGTCATCTCTGACTTCTCTCCTTAGTCACCCCTTCATTATTTAGTGCTGTTGGCCCTACCTTCTTGAATAGCTCTGAGCTCCACTCTCTCCAGTCAGTCCAGCTCCATTTCTATTGTTGCTTTCAGTTTGCCTTTACCTTTTATTTGAAATTCTACTGGCACTTCATACTTAGTCTTCCTGTCCCTAGTCATCCCCTCCTCTGCTATAGGCAGATTCTTTTTTTTTTTTTCCTAAATGTTAACCCAATTAGTTTATCTTCTTGTTTAAGTGCTGCCATCACTGCCTATGGCTGTCTTTTGCATGATCTATGAGGTTCTCTTTCCAGCCTCACTCCTTGCCTTTCTTCTTCCTGTCTCCTCAGGACTCACCTCTACAGACTAGTAGTTCCTAGATTGCCTTTTTTTTCTGACTTCTGCAGTGTTCCCACATGCTGGTCCCTGTAACTACAGTGCATTTCTTTCAGCCTCCTTAAAGCCTCGAACATCCCAAAGTATAAAAAATGAAGCAAAAAGATGTTTCAGTACTGCATGTTTATTATAAATGTATATTTTGAATAATATCTTTTTGTTCCTCTTCTAGGACTCATCTTATTACCGACTCTCAAAACACTTTCTGCCTACCAAGATTAATTCACTTGTTTTATGTTTCCATAATTTATGGCCAGCACTAAGGCAGTTGCATGATTTAGTTCATTAAGTGATCCTGAATATATATGTCAGGTGAAAATTTGTTGAGAAGCAATATTTTAGGTAGAACTTATTTGTAGAATCGACGTTATGTGTGGGCTGTCTGTCATATGTCAGGCACTGTTCTCTGGTTCCTGTGAATTATAGATATCATCTTTATTTTTATGGAGTTTTTTAGTCTGGTGTAGGAGACAGACAGTAAAGGAACAATAAACAATAAGATGATTTCACATGGATATAAATAATTTGAAGTAATAAACCCAAAGCTATGTCGTGAGTATGCTTTTAGACTGATTGAGCTGGTGTGGACTATACTATTTCGCATATGCCAAGATATTGTCCAGGCATATGCCAATCATATCTTAGGTTAACATCAGTTTGTAGTGAAAGCTGTGCATATTTTTGGGACTGAAGGTATTAGGATTAAAGACTTATTTGAATGGATAGAAGGTATTTAATATTTGAAGGAAACATAATAGCATTCAAATAATTGAATGACTAATGCAACAAAGAGATTCTGTATTATCCATAGAAGACTGCATGTAGTAGGCCAATAAATAGAAGTTACAGAGAGGTGTATCGCAGTTTAATGTAGACAGCATCTTTTAAGTGCTTATATTGTATTCAGTAATAGAATTGGTTTGGTTAGTTTTGACGTGGGATGAATTTAGGTGGAGGTGATCTGGCAGAGGTGATTGGGAAATTCCTGTAAAGAAAAGAGCACTCAGTATGGTTTCAGAAATCCCTATTGTGTTAATTTTTTAAAAAGATTTATTTATTTATGCATATGAGAACTGGGGTATAGGCCAAAGGTGTGGAGGGTGAGAGGATTCACCAGAGACAGAGTGGGAAACAGAACAGGCAGATTGACCAAAGTACACTGCTGAGGGGAGCAGTAGGCGAGTCAGGAGAGGGCTGCTGTGCCATGTGGGTTGCTCCCTGGCAGGCGGGGGATCGAACTCTTGCAGCAGAGGCTGCGGACAGCTTCATAGGTTGCGTCTTAACTCCTTTTGCCACCAGGGAGGCCTCCTATTGTGTTAATTTTAAAAGCTGCACCTAGGAAGACTAGAAACAGATGCTTGAAAAGGAAGTGATCCTAGTCAGAAAAGGAAGACTCCCTGAGAAAAAGTGGATGAAAAATGAAATGACATTTCTGTGGAGAAAGGGCAATGGGAAATATGCAGGAATGCTGATTCCCCAAATAAATGATATTCTTGATGATTGGTTGGAGAAAAAGGAAACAAGACATAAGATCGAGAAATGTGCTCTTATGAAGAGGAAAGCTCTATCAGATGATTCCGGAATGCAGTAATGTTCATAAATGAATATCATTAATCAAGAGGATAAACTTTGACTACAAGGTCATTATCTAGCAGGGATGTTTCTTAAATTGCTTTTAGGTGGGCTTTTTAGTCCATTAGTACACTAAATAATACTATGTTAATTGAAGCAAATAATACTATGTTAATTGAAGCGAACTGGACTTATATGTTTATCTTATATTTTAGGCATACTAATATGGCCAGTCTTGAATTTAACTATTTAGAATTATTGGTTGGGGCGATTTATTTTTTTTTACATGACTTCAGTCCTTTCTTCTGTTGATATAGTTTATCACATTTATTATTTTGCATATGTTAAGTAATCCTTGCATCCCTAGATAGATAACACTTGATCGTGATAATTGTTCCTTTTAATATATTCCTGAATTTGATTTGCCAAGATTTTGTTGAGGCTTTTTGCATCTCTGTTCATTAGCAGTTTTCTTTTTGGTTACATCCTTGTCTGGATTTGTAATTAGAATAATGTTGGCTTCATAGATGTGTTTAGTTTTCCTCATTTTCAATTTTATGGAAGAGTTTTATGTAGTGGTTGGCATTTGGCAGATACAGGTATTAAATTGTGTACCACTCAGAACTAAATATAATTAATTTCGTTTTCTCAGGTTTAAAAAGAAAGAGACCTTGGTTTTTTAAGAGATTAAGTTAGCCGTATTTGAAAAATAATGGGTTGCAATTGCTTCTGCTTTTTCCCATGTCACATATTTAAGTCATACATTATTCTTGGATTATTCTTGTGTTTATTTTTTCTTCTAGCAAAAACAATTTAGTGCCAGTATTTAAGTTATGAATATTTCCAGAGAAAGAGTTAAAGTCTTGTAGTTTAGGAGGAAAAGTGGAAAACCCCCTCATTTTTTACAATTTCACAAGCAGAATAGTCATTTCCTAATCTTCTCATAATGCTCTTAGGGTATTAGATAGGCATTGCTACTTGAAAAACAGAAATTGAAATGTTTGAGAGAGTATAAATAATAAAGGAAAACTATTAAGCCACAACAGATCTATATTTTTTCTTCAGTATTTCATGTGTTTTAGCTAATAGGCTTATTAACCCTTATTAATGGAGGGTTGACAATAATATATAATGTTATTTTGTCTATTTAACAAATTACCTAA